GGCCTACATCAACGGGCGCTTGCAACAGTCGAAGAAGTGGCAATACGGCTAGCGAATGAAGTGCTGTGTTATCAGAAGATGCTGACACAAACCCTTGCACATCCGTGAACGACCCCGACGCCGGGTGACGATCGCATTTGGCTCCCACACCCTAGTGACAGTCTTTCGCTTCGTGCAAATGGCAGCAATTATCACCTCATGTACCTGACCTCTGGTCAACGTCCACAACCTAACCTAATTCCCTCCCTTCTTCCCCCCGCCCCCCGCCTCCAACACAAGAACCTCTATACGCCGACCTCGCCACGTGGGCGGCGTGTAAACGATGAATTGTAATCAGACTACCTTATTAACCAACTGTCCAACTGTACAGTTTTCATTACCCCTGCAAATGTTTTGGCCTAGTCTAGATTTGCTGAAAACATATGTTTGCCAAACTGACTTCTTAAAAACCGAAAGTTATCATTGCTTGAAATTTGAAGAATGCGTAATTTGCTACCAAACGAATACGAAAAAATGAGTTTTGTGCATTTTTCTACAAAATAAATCTGAATTAATGAGAAAGTAGTGCAAATCAATCATTTTTTGGTGAAAATTTTGATATTATCATCAAAATATAGTTCTCTATTTATCTATCATCATACTACATAAGTAGCCTTTTTTATAGACTATAATTTGTCCAGACAGTCAGAAAGATGCTCGTTCAAAAGCCGGAAAGCTGGCGTTATTAAAAAAAATCTTAAGATTAGGCTTACGATAACCAACGTTACAAGCCTACTTAAGTAATTTGGTAAAAGTAGTTTATGTAGTGCGCCTTATATACCCCTAGTCCCAGCATTTTGTCCTACGGAAATGGCGGTTATAGGGTTTTTGAGGGTTGGGAAATTGGATAGGCAGGGAAGGAAATTTTTAGAAGTAAGTGTCAAGTGAAAAATGTAATTCAATTTGTTTCCCGCGGCTGCCGGGAGTAAGTTGTTTCGCATATAGATTAAAGGTGTGCGCGGAGCTTCGCGCCGCGGACTATACTAATCTAACTCCAGAACGTTACGTTGAAGTAGACGACGTCTTTGCCATCATCTCTATTTTTCAGGAATTTCAAGAAATCTGCAATTTGATAATCGGGTTTTCCACAATACGTTAAACCGTAATACAGATTAGGAAAGTCTACAGATATAAATCAGAAACATAAAATAAAAATGCATATAGCAATTATTAAAGTATATTCCACTGCCTATCCTAATTCCCCACCCATAAAACCCCATAACCATTGTTTTCGTAGGACAAAATGCTGGAACTAGGGATTAATGAGGTGCACTACATAAACTACAGTTGCCAGTAATTTGTTTGAACCGAAAGCATATTTCAGAATTTTGGCTGACGTCTCATGAGATAGGGGAACTACCGTAAGTGCGCCTGGTAGTCAGTCCTCTGGTAGATTCTAGATCTGGTGACTGGAAAGTCCTGCGTGGGCAGTCAGCTTACTGCGTATCAGAATTTGTGGATTACGTACGTTCCAGTAGGCTTGAGGAGTAACATGCTCACGGTTCCCCATGAGCCCTCATAGTTCATATGCCTAGAATGTTGGTTGTCCTGAAGGCTAATTCTTGCTGTCATGGGTTCGAATCCCACCGAGTTTTA